CGGAAATTCAATTCAACAGAAAAGGGTGGCTCAAATTAGTTCTTTAAATGGAGAAAATACTGTATTGCTTTATTTCATCCTCATGAATTAGTTTCAAGACCCAGAGTGCAATAATTGCACCATTACCCATGCGGTCTTCCCGCCCCATGCACTATCACGTGAAGAAGCAGCTAAGCATGATGCAATCTCTCCTGAAGTCTGGAACCTTTGGCCCCAGGCCCAGAGCAGAAGGGTTTGGAGAACTTTTTCCGCCATTTTCTCATATTTTTCAAGTATTTGCGCATTATTTCATAAGCGGAATTTGGTCCCACATTCGGAAATAAAAATTTGGAATATATATACAGGCATCCCCAGCGTTACAGAAGCCCGGGTTACGGAATTTCGCTCTTACGCAATTTGTAAATTATGACCAATAATTTCGCGTTACGGCCCGTAAATCCGCCCTTACGGAAATTGGGGTAAATTTCAACAAACACAAGGCCTCACACATGCCATTCAGACTGACAGACTTGAAAAGTTTTACCAACCATAAAGACAGTTGAAGCTTTAAACATCACTCACAATGGATCTTGAATATTCCAACTGTAATCAGACATACCTAAGTTGCCTCAGCAATTCCAACCCCAGTTGCAATATCAAATTCTGTGTCACTACTAAGAAATAACAAAGTATCTAGTGTACTCTAAGATTAAGAGAAAACGGACGACTCAGGAGTGCTGAAGTGAGAGAAAACGAATTCCTATGACGGGGCACTCAAATAAACATACACATTGCTGTATAATGCAATATTATGCAATATTAACCCCTAAATTGGTGTTTTAAGAAGGTATATCATAAATTATTTAATGTAATGTATTGTATGTGTTTAAAAATGTTTATTTTCATTAATAAAAGTGCTTGAATTACTTTTTTGGGGCCGAAAAAATTCCTCAGTAACGCATCTCGCATCTCGAGTTTTATAATGGAAGTCAATGGGAAAATAGGTTTCGCGTTACGGAATTTTGCGATACGGTCAATTTTCCGGGAACGGAACCCTTCCATAAAGCGGGGGATGCCTGTATGAATATGAATATGAATATATATATATATATATATATATATATATATATATATATATATATATATATATATATATATATATATATATATATATATATATATATATATATATATATATATATAGATATAGATATAGATATAGATATAGATATAGATATAGATATAGATATAGATATAGATATAGATATAGATATATAGATATATAGATATATATATATATATATATATATATATATAGATATAGATATAGATATAGATATAGATATAGATATAGATATAGATATATATATATATATATATATATATATATATATATATATATATATATATATATATATATATATATATATATATATATATATATATATATTTTTTTTAGATTCGCCCCTCCCGCCTGCTCCCGCCTGGGAAAGCCGCGCGGTAAGGTTGCGCAGTGCATGTCTCTGTTGCGTTATCAGTGATGTCATATGACGTATCGGACTGTGATTGGCCATGCATCCCTACCTCCCTCCGCTGCTAGCTGTAATTGGTTTAAAGTAATATGACGTGTCCACCCGGAGGGAGGGAGGGAGGGAGGGAGGAAAGACGACGCTTGACCTAGCCGCGGCAGTTTCATCCCTCCAGGCCACACCGTGTAATCGTGCATCCATTGTTCTGTAAAATGGCTTCCGCCGGACCACCCCCCCAGAGAGAAACCTTTCCTTGCCTGGACCCAGCCGCCCTAAGCCAAAGAAGACACGACGTTCCTTAAGCTACGAGGTGAAGTACAAGATCATCCAAGAGTTGGAGAAAGGAACAAGACAGGTTGATTTGGCGCGCCAGCATGGTGTGAACGAATCTACGATCCGGACGATAAAGAAGGATGCAGCCAAGATAAAGGAGCACATGAACATCACAAAGTCTACAGGTGCTTCTATGATCAAGTATTCCACAACCAGGTGCTTCTCAAGACAGAAAAATTACTTGTGAGCTACTTGGTGCGTCAGGCGCGACGGAACATGGCGGTGGACACGCGCTCTGTTAAGGAGTACGCACGTGAACTGTATGCTGCAGTGTCACGAAAGATGGGAATTACAGAGCCCAAACCCTTTAATGCTTCCTCTGGGTGGTTACAGAGGTTTAAGATGAGGAACAAGATCACCAATATCAACATTGGTGGTGAAGAAGCTAGTGCTGACCGTGTTGCGGCTAGGGAATTTCCTCCGTTTTTACGTGAGATTATGGAGGAAGGACAGTACACCGACGACCAGGTGTTTAACATGGACGAATCTGGTCTTTTTTGGAAAAAGCTACCTTCCAAGACCTTCGTTGTGAAGAATGCCAGCAAGTGTCGGGGCCGGAAGTTGCAGAAGGAGCGCATCACCGTCCTGTTTACCACCAATGCCTCCGGTACCTGTAAGCTCAAGTTATCGGTGATCCACACAGCACGCAAGCCGCACGCCTACAAGAGCATGGACATGACCAAGCTAAATGTCCACTGGCTGACCGCACGTAAGGCGTGGATGTTCTCTACACTGTCCCTCTCCTGGTTTGATGACTGTTTCGTTCCCGATGTAAAGAAATTCTGTGAGCAACAGAATGTGCCATTCAAGATTTTGTTGCTGCTGGACAACGCACCAGGACACTCGCCCCTACTGTTAGATCGTCACCCCAACGTAAAAGTGGTCTTCCTTCCTCCCAACACTACGTCTATATTACAGCCCATGGACCAAGAGTTAATCTGTAATGTAAAAGCTGCATTCTCTACTAAAAAATTCAAGCTCCTGAAACGACTACACCAACACCAGGGAAGAGTTGCGTAACCTGAGTGACACCACCACCGATAGCAAGAGCGAAGACGACGAGGATCAACAGTTGGCAGAGCAAAAAATACTTTTCAAACAATTCTGGAGAATATTCAACATCAAGAAAGCTGTGGACTTCTTGGTGGAGGCATGGGATCAGCTGTCTGTAGCAACTGTTCGTCACGCATGGAGACATGTGTTGCAAGGCATTCCGGCCGTTAGGCAGAGTCAATCTGTGACTGGTGAGGTTCAGACTGTTGCAGTAGCAGTGGACCTTGCCAGAGAAGCTGCACAGAGTGTTACAACTGCAGGCTTCTCCGAGACCACCAACGACGACATCCTGGAGGTGATAAGGGATCCTGATGTGACTACCGACGAGATCGTAGATGATGATGAAGTCAGTGAAGAGGCAGGTGGTGCGTCATCCCAAGAAGAACACCGCTTATCCCATAGTAATGTTAGGGGTGCCATCGAGTGTGTTGAGAAAGTCAAGCTCCTCCTTTCCGACGACCCTGACGCAAACAGGTATGAAATCTTCACTACCCAGCTGTTGCAGACTATGGAGCCCTACTTCAAGGTTTATCACGACAACATAACCACCAGCTGTCAGCAAAGCATAACAGAGTTCTTCGCCCGCAGCCCACCACAGCCAGCCCAAGCCAGTGATAGTGACAGAGGTAGAGACAGTGAAGATGACTTTGAGGGATATGTCAGGGAGGCCCTGACAAGTGTGGATGACAGTGATGGTGACTCACCTGAGGGCCAGTAGCCTGCCCTCTGCCTCGGAACCAGCCTCCATCCCCGTATGCCGACCCATCTCTTCTACTAACGTAAGTGTTAAACCTAACTTTTAGTTTTCCTAACCTAACCTTTATTTTTCCTAACTTAACCTTTATTTTTCCTAACCTAACCTCTTCTACATTAATTGTGTGTGCATACCATCATAAAGTTAAGATAAAATTTTTACTACAACATTGTTGTGTGTCGTCAAAAAGTGGAGTTTGGGGGTCGGCCCGGTCTCTATTTCAATTAATCCCATATGTTATGTTGTTCACTTTCCGCGGTATCCTGTGGGTTGTATTAACCGCGTAAAGTGAGGGTTGACTGTATATATATATATATATATATATATATATATATATATATATATATATATATATATATATATATATATATATATATATATATATATATATATATATATATATATATATATATATATATATATATATATATATATATATATATATATATATATACGTATGTATATATATATATATATATATATATATATATATATATATATATATATATATATATATATATATATATATATATATATATATATATATATATATATATATATATGCAAGTAAATCACTGTAGGTGCGCTGATTCAGGTATATGCTGATAACATGAATTTGAGTAAATCAGTAATAATGTACAAGCTGGACAATTTGTAATTAAGAAGATTTGTGATCAGGTGAGAAGGCCGGGTCACCTGACCATCTGACCTGACCACCAACCGTTGTGTGCTATTTAAAGATTAGTAGGGTCATTACCTAATTACCTGACCATTGTGGACCTGGTCTCACCCTTCTCTGTATATATACACCTTGATTTGTATTTCTCTCTCTAGTCTGTACTCACCCCTGAAGATGTGAATTACACGAAAGCGCTTGGGAACTTCGTGTTTTCTTCTTTCCTTGTGGTTATCAGCATATATATATATATATATATATATATATATATATATATATATATATATATATATATATATATATATATATATATATATATATATATATATATATATATATATATATATATATATATATATATATATATATATATATATATATATATATATATACAGTATATATATAATATATATATATATATATATATATATATATATATATATATATATATATATATATATATATATATATATATATGTATATATATATATATATATATATATATATATATATATATATATATATATATATATATATATATATATATATATATATTATAATGTATATATATATATATATATATATATATATATATATATATATATATATATATATATATATATTATATACATACATATATATATATATATATGTGTGTGTGTAAAAGACAACTTACATTATAAAAAACTGTTGGGAATGTGGTGAGGACGGATTCCAAAAGTTCCAGACCAAACGTTCGGGTCATCTCGGTGAGGCCAAGAAGCCACAGAGGTTGGTCAGCGTTCACTAACTGCACCAGGTCCTGTGATACAACCAAATGATGAGTATAAAGTAAGAAAAGGAATTAAAATTCTATATAATCAATGGTGGATGAAGTACTGGAAAAACTTAAGTAAAAGTACCATTACTCTGAGAAAACTTATTCAAGTAGAAGTTCTCTTTGATCAAGTAAAAGTAAAAAGAAACAAGTTTAAAGAATACTCAAGTAGTCAGATTCAAAATACCCATTGCTGTACATTAAAAATTTTTTTAAGAATCAAGACATAGTAATGTAGAGCCAATGGACGAGTTGACGGTTCTGGGTAAACACAAGAAATGCACTCTGCCACATTCATAGAGTGATACGGTATATATAATTTGTAATATAAGCTTCAAGTCCTGCTGTAATAGTCAAGATGTATATTTCTCTAGAAACAAGGCCGCCATTTGCAATGACGTCACCACCTACCCTGCAGACGAAGCACGGATGGAGATACGAGTCAATTAAGAAGTAATGACATTGTCTGGACTTTGTTTTGAGAATGCCTGATGCTAGGTAAACATGACAACGTAGTGCTGTTATTGTTTTGATGATTCACTAATGAACCACTGGGGTATATCATCATTTATATTAATTAATGGGTAAAATTTTACTTTAACTACCATAAGTATTTGGATGCTTAGATTCGAGATAGACTATATTGGGTAAGTTTTAAGTTTTGATCATTCCCTGTACTTAGACATGCAGACTATGTTTTTTTCTGATGGTTTGCGATGTGCTTTGAACGATTTAGACCTTCAATTCTATCAGAAATCACTAGTCTTGAGTTACTACCACCCCCCCCCCCCTACCAATTATGTTAAGCTAACCTTATAACTCATCATACCCTAACCTAGCCTAACCCAACATATGATCTGTATTCTCTTATGCGATCGAAAAATGTTTTGAGACAAAAATCCTGTAGAGATAATTTGTCTTATTGTTTAAAGTAATTAATCCCATAGTTAAAATCTTAAGGTTCCCCAGATGACCAAAACCAAAATAATACCAATATTGTTTGGAATGTTTATACCATGAAATTTGTAGTATTTGCAGTAAATATCCATTGAATTAGTTAATGTGCTTAGTAATATTTATATATTCAATATAGCATTACTGTGTTGCACACTAAAGCACAATTAATTATCTAATAATATTTATTTCCAGAGCCAATCAGCCGAGAAGGTTGGACAACTACTTCCAGGGTTCACCAAGGCAGATGAAAGAAATTTACCAAAAGTAGATGTCTTTATGATAGTAGAGTATTATCAAGAACTCCGCCATCCAGCTATGAAGCACATTAAATTACATCTGTCATCTGATCATCTCAAGCCCATCCCCCAGCCATGGTTGTCCCTAGTCCTTCCACAACATTAAATATACTGTAAAAATCAGTGACGAAAACTTATATTTTCCAGACATGAAATAGAGAACAGTGATGAAAACTTCCATGTTGGAGTTATCAGTCTTTTGTATCATTTTGCCATGATGATACTTGAGCAGTAATTTATTTTAACATAAAAATAAGGTATGCCTGTGTATATCAACATTGTATATGGGCACAAGTCCAGTATTTCAGCTGGTAACAACACACACACCACAGCTGGCTGGGCTGCTCGCACCAACCAGTGACGTCACAACCAATCACAGAGCTTTTTGCAGTCACGCGACTTTTTAGCAACTTTAACCCTAATTTTTTACAGTTTTTGGTCACATTTATTTTAAGATATCTTTACCATAATGAACTTAAGCGTTTTCTTTACCCACTGACCTGCCATCTTACGAAAATATTCCAACCGACAACTCGTCCATTCTGTACTCAACACACTAGATACTGTAATTCTACTTCATTAGGTTGATGCCCAGAGCCTGTAGGCAAAAATATCAAAATACCTGTATTGTAATACTAACAACAGACAAGGCATATTTTACTGTACATAATGACTAGGCATATTTTACTGTATATAATTCAGAACTGTAAGTAAATTAATCACGAGTTATCATTTACTACATAATGAGGAATATAAGCCCATCATGTCAAAAAAGACTCCTAAAACTTAGCACAAACCTGAAACATTAGATAAGCATCAGCAGCAGCAGGTCTCAGTGTCTTAGGGGAGTTGGCACTCAGGACCTTCAACTCCTCTAGGTTAACATGGTCATCTGCTTCATCCTCAGTGCTTCTGGAAAGACTGAAAATATGTATTTCAAAATTACAAAATAGAAATCTAGTTTTGTACATCAAACGTATCAATAAATAAAAGTTTGGGGATAAAAGCAATAGCCAAAATGTTCACAATTTATTCTGCCTTAATCATTTTATATCAGGAACAAACCATAAATAATAACTTTGTAAAATACCCAGTCCTTACCCTTCTTCTTTAATATGTTTTACATCTTCAGCCACTACTCTTTCAAAAACAACACTAACAAGCTGTCGGACAGTTGCACTTGCAGTATTTACAACCGTTGCATCTTTTGTGAAGTGTAGACGAAAACACAGAACAAGAGCCTGCCAATGCAAAAACACTTCAATACAGTATTGTATAATGATAAGAGAATTTGATTCCTATATGTGTTACAATCACAATTACAGCTGCTCCTCTACTTATCAATGAAATACATTCCTACTTGTTCATTAGTCCATTGGTTCTCAACTCCAAATTTACTCTTGTTGATACAAACATACAGTGATCCCTCGGTTAACGAGCGCCTCGGTTAACAAAATTTCGGTTAACGAATTACCTTCCATAAGATTCTTCACTTCGGTTAACGAAAAATTTCGGTTAACGAATTCCTTACGAATTTTTCCCAACATGTTTTCGCCTGCATTTGGCTGCTCACCAGCTGTAGTATTAGTCCGCCAATAAAGTAATCGGTTTTAAGGCTTAAATTCCTTACCATTTTAGTAAATATCAAGAAGGTTATACTATTCAATAATTTCAAAAGTTTTATATTAAATTTTTTAGTCATTTAACAATTATTGAACATAATTGAAGTACAAGAAACTAGTTTTTTGCGTGCCAAACAGCCACTCAACACACCAAGCTTGGCGTCAGTTTGTTTACTGGTTCAGAGGAAGGAACATCTTGTTTGAAACTCAACATAAACGCTTTTTTTCTGTGTTTCCAGTCAAATTATTGGTCATTTTGAAATATATTTTACATATTGATAATATATAGCACAGTGCAGTGTTGATTTGAAGAAAATAATCTTGAATTACACCAAGTGAACTAAAATTTTATGGGTGAAATGGTGGCATGGGGTGACTTCTCTTCCACCCCAATGCCTTCTCTTCTCCCTTCTCCTCCACCCCCATTCTAATTCTCATCATCATCATCATCAACCAGGAGCCTTGTACATGCACACCTCAAGTTAAGTGTACTTTACTGCATTTATTTTTAGTTTGTATGTATTTTTCGGTGAGCTGGAACCAATTACCCAAAAACCCATTGAAACAATGGTTTCGGTTAACGAATTTTTCGGTTAACGAGCAACCTTCTGGAACGAATTGTGCTCATTAACCGAGGGACCACTGTATTGAAAAAAATGGAAATATAGTGGATGTACAGTACACCTATATCCTACAGTACAGCCTTTAAACTTGGCATACTAGTCTCCTCTTTGGCAAAGTATGTTATATTACACATTTTCTCCCAACATAATCCAGTCTTATCCACATTAAACATCTGGTCTGGCAGGTAATCCCCCTCAATGATGATGTTTGTTTCTCTGAAAGTTTGTTAGTTAAATGTTTGTAAGTAAAGGAGTACCTGTACTCTATACATGAAACTACCACTGTACTTTATACTGGTACGTCTCTTATTACACAGCATGACACCTTACAACTGGCCCTCACCTTAGCAAGATTTGGTCCCTGAATGACAGTGCTGGTGGTCAGTAAAAGCGTGACAGTCTGGAGCACCTTCAGTTCCTCAATACCTGTCTCCATGAGCATCCATAACGTCTCCACTACATGTTCTCCGCTACTCACATCTACAACATCTGCTACAATCAGCCGCTGCATAAGCACTAAAGCCAACTATCCAATGGAAAATATATATATATATTAGTGGGACATACAGTAGATGGTCATAATAACATTATGAGCTAAGGTGCTCCGTTGTTTCCCTTTTCCCCGTGTGATTTTATCAATATATATATATATATATATATATATATATATATATATATATATATATATATATATATATATATATATATATATATATATATATATATATATATATATATATATATATATATTATATATATTAAAAAACAAAAATTAAATAAACATACTGAACTATCTATCTTAAGTTACAACAATACTCCATATGCAATAAATTTTTGGCCTTAGTTGTAAAGCTAACCTACATCTTGTTTACACTATAATTCAGACAGAATCTTGTACACATGGTGCTCACCTTTACAATCTTGGCATCCTTGGTCTCTGCTGCCTGGACAAGAGGATAAAGTATCTGGGAGGTAATCTGCGACAAGGATGACTGAGGGTTCATTGAGGCTCCCCGCACCTTGATGATTGCTTCTTCGCACGACTTCGCAAAGAAAAATTTAAATATATATACAGTATTTGTCTTCATCATAAAATACAGTATACAGTGATATCCCCGTTAGCCGGAACAATTGGTGCAGAGCACTTCCAGGGACGAGAAATTTCCAGCTAACCAGACGACTTTCTCAAACCTGGAAAAATTCTTTATCCCCGGAATCTTTTCCAGTGTGTAAACTAGACCTCTTGCCCACTTCTGAGTGATAGCAAAGTAGTAGTATGTACTGTAGTAAGTAGTAGTGTGTGGGTGGTGTTGGAGGGGTGTGTGGGTGGTGTGTGTGTGGGAGGATGTGTGGGTGGTTGTTGGAGGATGTGTGTGGTTGGTTGTTGGTGTGTGTGTGTGTGTGATATACGGGAGTGGGTGGTGTTGGTGTGTAGCACAGTGTGGGTAATGTGGGCTGAGAGTGTTGTTGGTGGAGGCAAACCTTTTTGCGGGGTGAAGGGTCATGCGGTCAGTTTTCTTCCCTCCTTCCTCACTCAAGCATGGCTAATTGTGATAGGGAGATGAATTTTATACCATAATGATCCTGAATAAATTCTCTGTGAAACATTTCCAATGAGATACAGGTTGTACCTCTCTAGTCCGGCATTCTGTGGTCCGGAAACTCCCGTGGTCTGGAACGATTTTAGTTTGTCCAATAGGTAGATAGGCAGCTATATTTATTTTTTTTTTTTTTTAACTTATCTGAATTATTATTATTATTACAGGAGTATTAAATTTTCGCCCCTCAGGCCCCAATGTGGGTCAGTGACCTATGCCCGGGTGGGTTGCCGGTGTGTTATCCAGGTTGGATGTGAGTAAGGCGCATGGACCGGACGGATTACCCCCTCGTGTTCTGAGGGAGTGTGCTGAAGCCCTGGCCCCTGTGCTCGCTCGCCTCTTTCGCCTTTGCCTCAAAACCCAAACTTTTCCTTCTTCTTGGAAGCATGCCTTGGTTCAGCCCATCCCGAAGAAGGGTGACCATTCTAATCCCTCTAACTATCGCCTCATTGCCCTAACTTCATCCCTCTCCAAGATTTTCGAAACTATCTTGAACTCCCATTTTCTCCGTCACCTTGAACGCCTTTCTCTTTTGTCGGATCACCAGTATGGCTTTCGCCGTGCGAGATCTACTGGTGATCTGCTCTCCTACTGCACCCATCTTTGGTCATCCTCTCTCAGGGACTATGGGGAAACTTTTGTCATGGCCCTCGACATCTCCAAAGGATTTGACAGGGTATGGCACAAGTCTTTGCTATCTAAACTTCCCTCTTTTGGTTTCTCTCCCCCCACTTTGTTCTCTCATCTCTAGCTTCCTTGAGAACCGATCCATGGCAGTTGTTGTCGATGGATTGATTTCTCGCTCTTTCTCTACCAGTAGTGGCGTCACACAGGGTTCTGTTCTTTCACCAACTCTCTTCCGTCTTTTTATCAATGATTTACCTCACACTACAACTAATTCTATCCATTCTTACGCCGATGATTCCACTCTTCACTCTTCCTCACATTTTCCCCTTCCTCCTAACTCTCAAACTAGATCTGTTTCTAGAACTGATATCATTACTTCTATCAATGCAGATCTGTGCAGCATCTCTGAATGGGGAGATACAAACTTGGTCAAGTTCAATAGTAAGAAAACTCAATATTTACCAATTACACTTTGTAAATTAGACGATCTCCCACCAATTACATTTCAGGATGCTATCATCCTCCCAAATTCTGAAATAAATATATTAGGCCTCACCATTTCCTCCAATATGTCCTGGAAATCACACATCCTTAGTATAACTAAAGCTGCCTCCCGAAAGTTGGGAATGCTGTACCGATGCTGAAGCTACTTCACTCCTGAGCAGTTGCTCCAAGTATATAAGGGATTCATTCGTCCTAACTTGGAGTACTGCTCTCATATCTGGAGTGGCTCTTCTACTGTCCAACTATTAGATAGGGTGGAATCAAAGGCATTTCATCTTATTAACTCTCCTCCTTTAGTCAACAATCTCTCTTCCCTTTATCTTCGCCGCAATGTTGCTTCACTCTCTGTCTTTTACAGGTACTTTAACGGGCAATGTTGTTCAGTGGATTTGGCATCCTGTGTACCGCCGGCAAGGCCGTGGGTTCATAACACATGTCTTGCCCGCGGTGCCCACCATTTCTCTGTGGATGTCGGTCACACGAGAATAACCCGTTATAGTACCTCCTTCTTTCCTCACACAGCCAAACTGTGGAATCCTCTGCCTTATTCTGTGTTTCCTTGCTCTTACAATCTGTCTCACTTTAAAAAGCTGGTTTTCCGGCATCTTCGTGTTGTAGATTAATACAGTATAACCTTTTTTTCTATATTTACTATTTCTTTCCGTTTTGCACATTTTGCACACACAAACATTAATTCAATAAAAAGGACATTCAGTAATAAACAATAATGAATCTTTTGTACATAAGAGAAATGACGCTGTTTACACAATTGTGCACGTCGTCTGAACGTTGACGGGCCGTTCAAACCAGTCGAAATTCGAGTTTCCGCCGTCAAAATTTTTATTTTTTTTTGTGTGTTCCAATAAAAAACGTTGAATTAAAAACTCGCGAAATTTGAGAAGCTACTGTACGACATTTAACCCTTCAATATGTCTTCAAAGAGACCATGAAGCAGAGAAAGTGGTGCTAGTGCTTCCAAGCATAAGTACAAGTCACTATCTATCCAGGAAAAGGGAGAATTTCCATGGTCCGGAAATTTCCATGGTCCGGCACCGGTCAGGTCCCGAGGTTGCCGGACTAGAGAGGTACAACCTGTATCCTTAAATGACAAGCCGAATAATAAGGTAAAAATAAGTATTTTACTCTATACATATATTTTTTTTTATGGGGATTAGCCCACCCGGGCACAGGTCACTGACCCACAACGGGGCCTGGGGGGCAAACAATGAATAATAATAAAAATTATAATAATAATTAGTTCAAAGTAAATATAATTTATAATAAGAAATACAAAATTATAAATAAAATAGTAATAACAATAATAATAATAATAATAACACTGATAATAATAATAATAATACTAATATAATAAAAATAATAATAATATAATAAAAATAATAATAATTATACTGTAATAATAATAAAGAACCATAAAGAAATACAAAATGAAAAAAGATCAAGAGGGATAAATGATTTATGGATGTTGTGTTGTCAAAGTAAGAGAAACAATTGAGACCCTGCAATTGTGTGTAAATGAGGCAGAAAGTCAGATCAGCAACCTGGGACTTGGTCACAATTTTCATGGTGCCATATGACAGCAGGGTCTACCATTAGACAACACATTATGCATCCAACATCTTCCCAGGCGGTAGTACCTCCCTGTTTGGTAGCTGCCTACTTCCTACTACCTGGTAGGAAGGGTACTGGTATTATTAAGCTCAAATTATTACAGTTTTTATCCGCAAAAGTTTCGACCACCAGTCTCTGTGTACAGAACTAAACAAAGAATTTATTTGAAACACTCTGGAAGATTCGATACCATAATATCCTGACAACTTGGGCTAGTTATCCAGACTTTCCCTGAGAAAATGTCATAATTCTGAGCAACATATTACTGTACTCACTTTGTACTCAAATGTACCAGGCTAAAGAACTAAAAATTTTATCTCTTGTGCAAACTGAGATAGTTATACTCAAATTAATTGACATCTTCCAAGGATTCCAGCAATGCAAGTTATATTCTGAAGTCGAGTCTGTGACATTTTATAAGAGAAAACTTAAAGCCTAAAATCACCTTCATCCCATTAATCGTTATCACCCACCACCATCTGCCTCCCCTGCTGGCTGGGAGGAGGTGGTGGGGTGTTGTCAGCCAGGAGGGGAGGTTAACTGTACATAGTTTTCAGGGTCTCAGGATTATAAAAGGCGACGTTTAGCCATTTGCTTATAAAATGTCACTGAATTGACTTTGCAGAATATAACTTGCCTTTCTGGAATTCTTGTAAGATAGTGATTAATTTGAGTAAAAACATCCCATAGTTTGCATTAGACATAAAAATTTTAGTAATTAACTTAGTACATTTGAGTACAAGTTGTGATAATTTATGTGGTTGCTCAGCAGTTGTGGTTGCAGTTGCCAAGCTTCCTGACGTCAATAGTGTATAATGCGTCTCCATAAGCCCTGGTTTATTCACTGATCAGTTGTCTAAGTGCAAAAGTAGCCAAATTGCACCATCATGTATCAATTAATTTCAAAATAAAATTATAAAGTAAAATGTTATAAGACAATGATTTAGTAGTGTTGTTAATGCGTGTGCTGTATAAGTGTCTTGGCATGTCACCTCACCACCTGACTCCGTCACCTCACCCTTAGCCTCGTTAGCTCAGCTCAGAATTACAATGATTTCTTATTTTTATTATTTTACTTTTTTAGTATTGTATGTACATTTAAAGAAATATTTGTGTTTGCACAGTTATTATAAATAGGCCCAGAGCAGAAAAATACAGCATTACCCAAGCGGTTGGTCTTCCCACCCACGCACCAAACAAGTGAGGATGAGGCTAAACATGGTGCAGTCTTTTATAATGCTAGGAACCATTGTCCCCAGACCCAGAGCAGAAAGGTTTGGATTGATTTTCTCGCAATTTTCTCAAGTTTTCCGGTAATTGCGCATTATTTCCAAATCGACATTCTCTCCCAGACCCAGAAATAAAAATTTTGACAGATTTTCCATATATTTTTTTTTTCAGAAAATGCTCCTGATTTTCAACCTCGGAATTTCTTCCCAAATCCAGAATTTAGGGAATTCTCCAGATAAATTCCGAGCAAATCTCAATTCCGGCCATTGGAGAGTTCCGGGTTTGAAGGATTCCGGCTAACGGAGATATCACTTATAAATAACACAAATCTACTAAGACCTAAGAGTGAGTTCATACAACATGGAAACAATGATATACCAAAAACTATTAACTGGTTCCCAGATGCAAGTGAAGATCACATTTTTAATTAAATATAATAATAAAGGCAATAATCA